ACAAGGGCAAGTAGCTTTTTGATGGTTCGAAACTGGACTCAGCTTCCCTTGATCATTGGGCTTTAAATAAATGATCTCAGCTAGTAAAACGGCTTAACTTAGTCAGTAACAAAGCTACAAAAGGCATCACACTCCATTCTACATTCAATTGGTTAAAATACGCACCTAGGAGACGTCCACATCTCAATTAATAATTGCTTATAGATAAATTTAAATAATAAATTAAGTATATAGTCTTTTACGTAATTCTTAATGAAAAATAATCAATAGTTTATGTTTAAATCCTTTACGATTGTATTTTAAACGTAGCTAGAACTTGATAGCAGCAAACTTGTATGTAATATTTTTCCCTTGATGTCGAAAAAAAGGAAATTTCCGTTTACCAGCAACCTATTTGAATTTAATTTCAATAACTATATTTCAAATTGGAGTTAATAACTTGACCTAACTTATCCCTATAATACCTACCTTCATTTAAATACTACTCATTTTAACTTTTTTGAGGGAGTTCCCAATAAATAGGCGAATTCACTCTCCCATTTTTGCTATGTTTTTACTTTTCTAGATAGACTTTCATTGTACATGAAGTGTGGTCCAAACCACCGATCACGGTATCATTGCATATCTAGAATTGGCCATTAGTGGGATTCGAACCCGGATCTGTAGTACATAAAGCACGCGCTCTAACTAAAGCCGTGACCTAGACTCGCAATAAAACATGACCTTGAAACAGGATTGATTGTAAATGTAAACACTGGTTTTTACAATATTTGAGTCCTTGAACAAATTCACACACACGAGATGGCCATATACATGACTTATACATGAATAAGGTGTATATTTAGCAGACTATGCATGTGTGTGTGGGTGTATATTAGTGTGTGTTAGTGTTTGTGTGTCTCAATGGTTAGCTTGTATGACGTTATGCTTTCTCTGTAATTATAAGTTAGAAGTTCCACAAGGTTTAGCACTTGACGACTTCACTTGGAGACCTCTTTATACATACAGGGGGATTCGCTCTTCAGTCATTAACAGGTAAACTATTTTTATATTTGTAAATAACTTATTTAAGCACTGAACCAAATTGCAACACTCTAGTTGTCAATAAATAAATATTGCTTAGAATAAAGATAGCTCTATCTTTACATATTGCAATGATAATCCGTTTAAGATTTTCCAACCATAATGATAGTTTGGCATTTGATAGAATGTTCGAAATTTTGTCAATCAAACCTTCAGCTTGGGTTTCAAACCATAGGGCCACTGTGTATTGTAGTAGCGTAGTTTATTGTCAATACCGGGATTTGAACCCGATACACCTCGAACGTAGTTGTGCGCTTGACCAGTCGGATTTAGTCACAGTAAAAATATTTCACCTGGCTTTGTTCCTACCCAATTAGACATTTACTTAGCTTTACTAAGCTAAGAAAAATTATGTTTTGCAAATAAAGTTAAAATGTAAATAGCAAGTTAATTTAATATAAATAAACTCTTTTAAACGTCCTTTTTGTCATACGAAGCATTTATTGCAGTGCAAGATAATACAATTAATTATCATTCAAATTTAACATTTTTAAATAGGCCTAGTTATTACAGACGTTTAAAAATTCACCCGAACTTCCTCATAGTAAATTCAACAACTGAATGGACATGTTTTTACTAATGTACTGTTAATCTTTTAATCCCATCATCCGAAGTAATTTAACATTCAAGTCCAGTAGGATAGCGTTGATCTAGTAGTTATACCAACAATTCACCACTATTGGACCGCCTACAAATAGAACGATGACTGTTGAGCTATGTTGCTGAATTTACAATGAATATAGTGACGCATTTCATTATTGTTAGGTTAATTTTTTTTTTTGTAATGTGACTTTAGAAACAGAAAAGAAAAAATTGCATTGTGGTAAAGTAATATGAAATAAATAAACTTGGTCAAGTAAGCTTTTTGATTGATTATTTTAACCCTCTTAAGTGTGCTATATTTTTTCATCCTTGGCGATAAAGTAAGATTACACTTGTCCCATACTTCAAACCGCACGTTTTAATATTGTGAACAAAGGCATAGTATTATCTGGTACACAGTTCCGTAGCTGATTCTTGAGATAAGGAACTACGTTTTAAAACCTTGTCCTGTCCAAAATTGATACTGTTTGAATAAACCTTTGCTCTCCCAAAAAGAACGCCTTAGCCTGATACGATTTGTCGAATGTGATCGAAAAACTTGAATGATGTGCAGGCATGAAATAAAGGAAAATTTAACACTCGTTTGGTTAACATTTTAACCATTGCTGTAAAAATTACGGTTAAAAAATATTGTGTTTCCTTTGTGATTTCCTCCGTAAAATATAGTTACTCCCACCGCTTGCCAATGATAGAGGAAAGGGCTGTTTACAATATAATGCGAGAAAGGATGTGTCAGAATAATGGTATAGCTAGTTTATAAACTTCGTGGTAGTTTAGCTACGGTAAAATATTTTAGCTGATATTTAATGAATATAATACGTTTTATCCATGATATGATAGAGATTCAGCTATAATGTCTACCACGCCATTTTCGTCTCAGTTACTATCTAAAGTAAAATTTTGCATTTTCATGAGTTCAAACACATTTTTTACAATAAACAACAATTTAACAAATTTTTATTTCGAGTTTAATATTCAACACCATACTTAATACTTGCATGAAATGCCATTGAAATGTGTCGTTCTCATAACTGTAAACTCCAATTCACATTTGGGTGGCAATGAGTGGTTGAGAGGTTATGTTTTTATCACTAGTGATTTTTAGTCATTTAGTTGGTGGTAGTAGATTTAGTAGTATGGCATAAACTATCATACGTAACTCGTCCAAAATGTGTGAACCGGACTCATATGGTAATCCCGTATTCGACGTCCGGTAAACACTTATTTTCAGGACTAGTAACTTAATATACTATTAATAAATTAAATTATACATGAATTAGTAGAAAACAAATCACAGCTATAGCTCACATCTCATTAGTTTGACCTTGACTATAAACGATTAAGTAACTATGAGCTTTCTCCGGTCATCAGCCGTGTAGTGTAATTTCACGACTCTTGAGTTTTTTGACCACACTCGTCATTATTTTTGTCAATTCTCTCTTCTCATACTTCCTCGTCATTTCAGTTTGGAGCACAGTGTAGACAAGAGGACCTGAGAAGTGAAAAAACCCTTCTGTAAGTAAAGCCATTTACAAAAACAATTGTAAAATTCATAAATATATGGTTGATAAACACAAACCGATTATTTTCTACTTAATATGGTCATCTATAACATTTCGATTAGATTGATTGATTTTTATCATTATTAGACTTGAACCCGTCAAAATGCGAGACACTGAGCCTCATTTTTAGAATTTCTTATTTTTATTTTTCCTAAAAATTTTATTTTATAATGATAATTATTTTCTTACTTTACATAATTTTATTCTCAGTCCTCAGAGTTTTGGTCTAGGGAATATTATATAACATTCTTATGTATGTAATTTAGTGTTCCTGTAAACTAAAACTTCAGTGCCGATCTTATACTACATTTGAGAACAATCTTATCAATTGAATTTGTTGAAAGAATTATAAATACCAAGCTTTATTCATCAGAAGGTTAACCACTGTTTGTTATCAACTGACTATCTTCGTTATCTATTATTTACCTTACTTGATGACCTTTGAGTAAGTGGTACTTGTTTAACCACAATTTGAATCCATTGCCTTATTAAATAACAAATATATTTTTTTTAGAACGATTTTGATCATTTATAGCTGTCGTCATTGTATTTAAAATCTCAAATATCAGTAAAACAAGTGAGCTTGTCGGGAAACAAATTGAAAAGAATTCTTTACTAACATTGGCTACCTATATAGATCGATTTACTCAAAGCATCATACTATTTAGACAAAATCTGTTAACTTATGTTCCTAAAACAAAAATGGTTAATATGTTGATTTTTGTTATTTTTAATGCAGTGTTGTAGAACAAATATTTTACATTATTTAAGTCAGTGCTCTTAATGTTCAAGGGCCATTTACCACTTTCAGATGTTAAATACATTTTCATACACTTTTTATATACAAAAACTAACTTATATTTTGAAACAATGCATTATTTCTTAATGGAGGCTCTGTTTTAAACATGTGAATTAGAAAGTTTTCTCAAAATAACAATTTGGTAGAGTCTCTCAGTCATTAAACACAATATATATTTTTTTTCAATTAAATTGTTGCGTAAAATTGAACAAATTAAAAAAAAATGAATACACTAAAATTTATGTTTATTCCGTAATGTTGTAAAACGACAACTAAAAATAAATTTACCATAATAATGTTTTCAAGCATGACTGAATATTGTTTTTCTTACTAATGTGAACAACTAATGAGGGTTATGCAATCAAGATAATTATCTTTCAGGCCAGGAAAACTTTGCAATATAAAATTTGTATTTAGCATAAAATTAGTTTTTTTTATAAACTAATTTGGGTGTTAAAGCGTCGATCACCTTAGGTTAAATCGTAGCAACAAAACAAAGGACTTATTTCAATTGAGATTTGATGGAGACCTTAATCTACACCCATCAGTTGTAATTTCAGTTTTAACTATACTTTGAGATAAAAATAATCATCATGGCTATAATAACAATAAAGAAATTATCTTTTGGTTTCAATTTATAGTAATTTGTTTGACGCACAATATAGTCAAAATAGAAACTGTTCAAATATTTCTAAAAACTGTAATTTTTTACCCAGCTGTTATTTAGAGCTCAAATTAACGGCATTGTATTCTACTAAATACCTGGGTACCAAGCTTTGCTCGGGGAAAATCATTAGATTATTCTGACAGCAGTCTTAGTATTGCAGATACATTAATCCAACATTCCACAAACAGTTCCCACACTCCGCGCTGCTTGCCTTTAATACTTCCATCACCACTTCCTACGTATTACAGATACTATATTATTATTATATATATTAAGCCCCCCATACACTATCCAACGTCTTGTCGAACATATTGGACGGTGTGTGGGTTCCGACCCGACATGCTCGACGGTATGTCAGGTCGGATGCTCGGTCCGATAAACCACCCGACTCGAGCCGTCCGCCTGACATGTTGGACCCATCGCGTATAATACTCTACTACATACATCGATTATACATAGATTTTTATGCATGGGAGTTATATTATACATCGATGGTTGGACCGTGTGTGGGAAACCGTCAAACTGCTCGCCCAACTAGCCACAGTTTCCAGTTGACTTGTATTTAGCGAGTTGTGTGTGATAACCGTCCCATTTTCCCTAATGTAATTTAATTATAATAAACAGTTCTGGTCAGAATTTATTTAACTCTACAGAGACCAGAAGGTGTTGTGTGATGTCAAAAGTAAACTCTATTGCAGTAAACATGTGCATAAAGAGGAGCACGATATTCTGATGGAAAAGTGCAAGGAACTGTATCCAGAGTGTGATTTAAAGTTCGTTAAAAATAAAATTGAAAATTTAAATCATCGCTAAAAATCCCCCACAAACAGCTACAGTCGTCTTGAAATCCATCTCAGAACTAATATTTCACCTGACTTGTTGGGTAACATGCTCGAAAGTGTGTGGGAAACACCCGAAATAAGTCAGGTTGGATGATGGGTCCGTCGTCAGGTCAGGTTGTCAGGTCGGGTGGCATGTTTGATAGTGTATGGGGGGCTTTATTCTAACATGCCACAAACGGGTCCCACACTCCGCAATGCTTGCCTTTACTACTTCCTTCACCACTTCCAACGTCATGGACCTGTTTCCTTCCCTTCCCATAGCATTTAAGTATTGCAGATAGATACGTTATTCTATGCCACAAACGGGTCCCACACTCCACAATGCTTGCCTTTACTACTTCAGCACTTCCAACGTCGTGGACCTGTTTCCCTCCCTTCCCATATATCATTTAAGTATTGCAGATACATTAATCCAACTGCCATAAACGGTTCCTACACTCTGCAATGCTCACCTTAACTACTTCCTTCGCCACTTCCAACGTTGTGGACCTGTTTCCCTCCCTTCCCATAGCATTTAAGTATTGCAGGCAGATAAAAAAAACTAACTAACTATCTGCCACAGACGTTTCCTTCTTTCAACTATCAACTACTCATCTTACCTCTCTGAATTTTTTCCACGGGCGTCACCCAAGGGTTTGAGAGAAACATTACCATTACGGTATATGGGGCAGGCCACACTAGAGTAAAAATGTCCGTTAAAACCAGCGAGACTGACAAACAGATTTGCACGTGTATTCTCTACTAACATTCCAAGGATGTTGCACGTAAAACTAGTCACGGGTCATTGCGTCTTATGGGAATGAACACACTCAACTTATCTCGCTGAATTTTTCCCACGGACGTTTCTAGTTTTAACCTTACTTTTACTGTGTAGTGAGCAAATAGGTGGGGGGGGGGGAGTGTGGATCACGGACATGGACAATTTTTATTGCTAGTGTGGCATGGCTCTATCAGTCTCGCTGGTTAGCCTGAAAAACCTCAGGTATTCAATAAACATGCTTGTCTATTAATATACAGGGTGACAAAAAAATCTGGAAACGGCTAGATATCTTTTTAACTGAATTCATTAGAAAATTCAAACCTTACACACCAATAACTTATATGTATGAAAACTACTTTTTGCAAGCATTACAATTTTTTTACCTTCACCAGGGGACGGCCCATGAGGAGTAGGTACATAATCTTCAATGTAAGCATGGGTTGATATGCACATCATTTTAAAGGTCTGGTCAAGTGGAGTTCATTGCTGGAAACCGCGTCAAAAAAGGTTCATCCGTTACAAAATGGCGGCAGTCCAAAGTTCTTGCAGAATATATCTGCATGCACAGGCTTAGTATTGGTAAATTCATAGACATCATTAGCCGGGCAATCTGAAACCCGGTTAAATTTGTTTTTAAGATTAAATAAACTTAGTCTATGAGCTATACTTTAAAATACAATTTCAGCTCTCAAGCTTATGTTTAATACGAGTATTTACCAATACTAAGGCCTGTGCAGGTATTTTTCGCAAGAACTTTGGACTGCCGCCATTTTGTAACGGATAAACCTTTTTTGACGTGGTTTCCGGCAATGAACTCCACTTGACCAGACCTTTAAAATGATGTGAATATCAACCTATGCTTACATTAAGGATTATGTACCTACCTACTCCTCATGGGCCGTCCCCTAGTGAAGGTAAAAAAAAATGGTAATGCTTGCAAAAAGTAGTTTTCATACATGTAAGTTTATGTGAAAGGTTTGATTTTTCTAACGGATTTAGTTAAAAAGATATTAAGCCGTTTCCAGACTTTTTTGTCACCCAGAATGCCCATGTTAAATCTCCATAAGAATCCCACTTGTAAATCAGTCCAGTAGTATGGTCAGGTTGGATGTCGTAAGCTAAAAATTTGGCCCCATGTTAAATCTCCATAAGAAAAGTTTAATTTCCATTTTTGACCCAATTAACATAAATATTCTCAAAATACAAATAAAACCTGCACTTAAAGGACTCGATAACCTTTGTTTTAGTACAACCCCTGTGTTATTCGGTCCAGTAGTATGTTCAGGCAGTAGTATCTGTCATAAGTTTTGCAAAAGTTTTAAATATATAAGATTGCATCATAATTTTGAAAGCCCAATGAAATTGGGACCGAAACGTCACCCATCAGATGTGAAGGCAGGCTTTCTTTGTCCTAGTACACGAGGCTCTAGCCCGAGATCGTTTTTCACATCACTTGAGTTGCGGCATTATCACTTAAAAATCCATTGGTGATTTGTCAGGACTTGAACCCCGGACCTCAGGAACTGAAGTCCCGCGCTCTACCTCTACCACTAGACTAGCTAGCTCCCAGAAAGCATTAACCACTTAGTTACCTAGACTAGGTACTGGAGAAAATGTTGCTGCGTTTACAAATATAAATTAACATTACACCACTGAAGTCGAGCATAATTACATACTATTAAGCATATGGTAGCTGTTATCAACCATGTGTTGCTTAAACATCTGTGCATAAGTTGCCTGTGTACATTTTTTAAAATCTACTATGAAAACCTGAAACTTACAGCGTGGTTACGTTTCTAAGCTTATAGCTCTTCAAGGTTAGTGCTTCTTCATCTGTGGCATCGAGCGGTCGAGCTACCCTACTTGGTAATGCATTCAAAGTGTAATACAGTACTTGTTTTGTGACTAGTTGTCTAAGTTTCAGCCCAACTAGTGACATGACTGATTTGGAAGCTGCTTCCACTAGAAGTTTTATCTACCTTCACCGGGCAGGAAAAGATTTAAAACAAACTTCTGAAGCTGCATAACACATACCAATGTTGATGGAGGGTTGAGGATTTGTTTCCAATGAATGTGTGTCAAGATGTTATCCAGGTTGTATTGTGTGAGAATTAATTTTCTGTCAGTTACAAAAGACAATTTGTTATGGTGGATGCTGGATAAAGTAATTTAAAAAGAGTAAATCGAGTAATGTGATAAAGTTAGTGTATGAGTCATATTGCAAAATGGTTATGTGTACTTGTTGGCTCATTGGCTATTCTATTATGCTACAGATCCACAATGAAGTCAGCTTACTGGATGTCCATGTTGTTGCTGATTTGTCACCATGCAGCCGCTTCACACATACTTATGATAACACTTGGGGGAACTCGCAGCCATAAGGTTGGTTGTTTGTTAGAAATTTACATTTCATAGTAAGTGTTAAGGTTACAACACTACAGTACTGCAATAGTATATTTTGTACCTAGGTTGAATGAGGTACCCTTTTGAAAATGAGGTTTTGCCGGCTCGAGATAGTTTTTAAGTTAAACGATCGAGAGCTGCAAAACCATTTCGGTTCGTGGTACGAACGCTTTTTTTAACCACACTATACCTTATTACCACTATTCACCACAATAATAATGCACACTGATAGTCAACACAAGTACAACTTTTAGGTTATGTGAAGAAATACTTCAAGGAATCAGCAAAAATAATAATAAATAGTTGCTAGGCAACGGTGACAATAAAACAATTCTATTGCAATGCTATGGATACTGATTGTGTATGTCATGTTTTAAGAAAGTAAGCGGGTAGCTGATTTTGCGGCCCTAGGGATGTAAAAACCTGCTCGGTCCCCAAATGACGATGATAGCTGGCATGGCCAGCAAAACGTAACTTTCAGCCACCAATTAATGTATGTAAAACAGCTAAAACTTCATAGTGTGGTGAAAACATTATATCATAGAAAAATATAACTAAATATAGACCCACAGCAGTGCTGCGGTTAGCATTAGTTCTGACGTCCACTGCTGGGAGCGCCTTGTTGTTACGTAGCACGTGCGACGTAACTACACGGCGCTCCCAGGGGTGGACGCCAGAACCAATGCTAACCGCAGCACTTCTATATTTCATTATATTTGTCTATGATGCAATCATTCAACGACGGTAACATTAGTCATCTTGATATTTTATGCCGGGAATAATGGTATATTAAATTAGTTTTTAAAAACTGACCTCCCAAGGACAAAGAGATAATGTATAAGGGCAGAGACATAGTGGATCTCTTTATATTCAGGTAGAAGTCCCTAGCACCCTGTACCTCCCTTCCAATACTCCAGAGGAGAAATTAGGAAAATAACCTTACAATGCAATGATTAGTATAGGGGTAACAGGTGGAACTAATGTTGAAAAATCTATACTGCCACAAAGATCAGTGGTTTCTGTAGTCTAAGGCATTAACATCTTTTAAGTCCAAAGCCAGTTGATGCATGTGACAATATTATTAATGCGTACAAGGAGTTTAAAGGTAATTTTATCCGTTTGCACAATGTTACAGATTTGTTCCATGCTGATTGGGTTTCTTTCATCATTCTTATTTGAGGCAGTGTTTTAACTTTCGGAAAACTTTGCATGTGAATCGTGGTGTACCTGAGCGAGAGATTAACTTACTGATAGTGGACGTTCCAAAGACTACCAATGACAATATTAAATTCTACTAGCCTTAACAGCAAGCAAAGTTTCCTTAACTTTAATCACTGTCTCTGTTGAAACTAATGAACACGCACTGCGCGCCTCTTGAGACATTAAGTTAAGCCTTCTGCAAACTTAACTCTCAAAATTCCCAAAGCCACTCATGCACATTTCCTACTTACACATCTGTCAACTACGGTAACGACAGATTTCAATAGGGGTTACCACCCACCCACATAAACTTAATCGCAGAAGGGGATTTATAATTTCTAGGAGCGTCGACTTTCCGATGTTTTTCTCATGTCGTTTTCTGTAACCACAACCATCACATAGAGATGGGGACCAGCTGTGTTATTAGTGGATGAGAAAATTAACACTCTCTTGGTCTCAGTTTGAGCTACCTTGGTTGGCCGTTACAGGAGCTAAATTGAGATTCCAATTTACAGACAGGTCTCTTATCAGTATGCTGGTAATTTTGGAACAATTTGAAAACCCACTAACCCATGTACTTTCCACATACTTTTGACACTTCTCTAATACATAATCTGTCCCCCAGGTGCCGTTCATAGCTCTAGGTCAAGGTCTTGTGTCTCGGGGTCACAACGTCACCCTCCTAAGTGCCTTCCCTTCAGGCACCAACAACCCTCCCCCAGGACCTCATGTAGTGGAGATCACCCCTCCTACTCTAGTAGAGGCTGTAGAAGGATTCAGTCACATGGACCCCCTCGGGAAAAAGCTGAAAGGCCAGAGCGCATACTCTGTATTGGACGTATTCAACTTTGCTTACAAGGTCAGCACATTGTCTTATGTCTTTGACTTTTATTGATAGAGCTTGTCACATTAAAGTTGTAGCCAGTGTTTTAATCGAAATGGACGTAGTTGAACTGAGTCACCAATATAGTGCGCTTATGTAAATTACAGATTTTTGTCAAATACCCAAAATATTTAAGTCAAACTTATTGTAAGCTAGAATCTTTTATATAACATAAACCACCTCAGTAAAAAAATAATGCACAAAATAGAATTTCATACTAGTGCACTCTATGTTGTTTTTAAATTAAGAATTGGCCACAAACTGGTTTCATACAGGGTGATTAACTCAAGGTGGCCACCATTGGAATATCGGAAACGGTAAGAACTACAGAATACTTTAAATGAGGGACATTCCTTTATTTTTTGTGGAAGTTAAAAATATGAATTTAGTTTTTTGAAATTCAGCCGCCATTTTTCAATATGGTGGCCAACGTTGAAATTTCTTATGGAACACCCTATATTTGATCATGTTTTCAGATAGAACATGCAATTTAAAAACTTGTTTATTATTTTCCAAAAACCCATTCGTTTAGGAGTTACAGCCTATGAAAAAATTACTTCCAGTGTACATTTTGCATCATATGTAGCTCCTAAAATATTAGGTGTTGAAATTTCAAAGTTGGCAGCTATATTGGAAAATGGAGGCTGAATTTCAGAAAACTAAATTCATATTTTTAACTTCCACAAAAAATAAAGGAATGTCCCCCATTTTAGTTTTCTCTCATTCTTACCGTTTCCGATATCCCAATATTAAATAATAGTGGCCTCCTTGAGTTGATCACCCTGTATAGATGGCATATCTACTTCGGTATACAACCAGGCAAGTAGACATCAATATGAAAGAAGCTATTTATGAAACTATATGAAGAAGCTGGTATCCAACTTTTCATTCATGCTAGAGCAATCACAAGGTGTGCTGTTATCAAAATGTTATGTCATTTGGAGAACTGTATTTTTGGAAGAAGATGCAAAAGAATGCTGTTCTTTAGATCTGTGTCATGTATTAGTTATGCATCTATATACCGTACATGAAATATGGTGTTTGATGTCACCTAAAACATGCTATCCACAATAAATTATCCTTTTTACTAATAACTTTGTTAAATAGTCTGCACTTTTGTCAGAAGTTATACTAACTGACATCTCTGCACTCCGTCAGTGGTTCAATTGAGTTATGTCAATTTCACCAAATTTACCCTAGGGAAGAAGCTAGGTAGGTTGTAGAGGACTGATTTACTTTTCATCTTGTTGTCCCCTGAGTGAGACCATAAACACAAAAATTTAAATATACGAGCTGCTAGTGTTTCTCAACAAGAATGGATGCAAAATTAAATAATGCTATTCTTTAGATCTGTGTAAAGAAATAGTTAGATTATTCATATATTATTCATTCTACTAGAAACAAAACTTAATCTTACCACTTTGAGTAATCATCTTATCTTTTAGATAAGAGGGGTTAAAATTGCATATAATACCATGAGGCTGATGCATGCTGATAAATGTTTTAATTCTATGATTCAATTTAAATAAAAACATAACTCTGACTTCAGTGCTAGGGGGATGTGTTGAACCTTATGTTATCTACTTTCCCTTGAAAGTTTTTGAGATTTTTTATACCACAAGCCTCTGAAATGGACGGTAAAAAATAAGATAATGAATATAATTGAACAAAATAAACTGTTTAATTCCTCTATTAATTATACAAAAACACATAGGCTTACTACATCGCATCATATAAATCTACTGTACAATATGTAGACCTGTAAAATATTGAAAATATTATTGTAGGAAATAGTTTACTTATGCTACAAATGAGGTAATCCAGGTGTAAGCTACTTTGATTTAAAAATCTGTAGGGGAATATTGTTTTTAAATTAAAATCTATATCCATTCCTTACCTAATTAATGTAATTTTTAGTCTAGATAGAAAATATTTTTTTAGCCTGGATTAGAATAAGGTTGATAATAATTTTGAAAAAGCTTCTAAAATACTATTTAGTTGGCACAAAAAAAGTCATATGTACTTGCTTTGTGTACTACATAATTGTGAATTTGAATTCTAAAGTCATAACTGCAGCTTGGCATAAACATAAATAAATCATCGCTAGAACTACTTTAGTAAATATTTGCACTTTTGACCTTTGTAAATAATATGTATAGAAACAAGGAAACTAACATAAATTCATAACCAAACCTCACTAACCTCACATACAATATAATTTAAAACAAATAATGTAAGTTAGGTCCTGCAACTCAAAGCCTGTGTTTTTCCTTATGCATGTTTACATTTCCCCATAAACCTCAAGGACTGCTAGGTTTACTTGACTGATATTTAGTATACACTTTGCTTACATTGATTTTTAGGAAAGTAACATATTAATCTAAATTAGGATACTTTTTGATTCCTATACAACATCAAGTTATTAGTGTGGATAAAGTATACACATTCTTATCTATTGAAATAGCCTAACAATTTTATTTTGCTAAATAAATCATACATATTGTCCTCTTAGTTGAAGTAATGATTCATAATGTCCCTCACTTTCTAAAACTGGAGTTAGGTGGTTAAATTTTGTCTCATTTACAATGATTATAACATTTTTAGTTTCCTCCTTACTCCACTTAAGGTGTTGTTGATTGATTGCTTCAATCATTAAGACTGCATTTATCTTACAAGAGGTCTAACCTAGATGTACCAAACACTATCTCATAACTTCACTCTTTTTTCATTTTAAAGAAATTTAATTTGACATTAGCCTCCTTCTTTGTTTTTGATTTCCAATCATTCAGTCGCCATAGTGGAATTTTCATACAAAAACTTTCATCTAACATTGTGATTTTCCCTTTGATCAAGTCAGAGAATTTAATGTTCTCTTCATAAGATGTAGCTTTTAGAGTGTTAGTTACAACAAAACCCCCATTTTCAATTGTAACACGTACATAGTAATCATGGTCTAGTTTACCAATTGGTGTTACCAGGAAATATTGTTTGGTTACAAGAACGTCTGATTCTGTATCAAGAAAACATAGAATCCAAAAGAAATTGTCAAACAACCATACTGGAGTGAAACCATATGGATATTCTAACTGCTCTACATATATTTTTGTAATTATGCCAATGTTACCATGATGTTCCCTCAAATGATCCAATACCTTCACAACTGGCATTTTAACATAACAACCAAACTTATTACAAGTAATTGGTCTGTAGCCACAGATCTCTTCATGATCATTACCTGGTTTCACAATTTCCTTACATCCATCTCGACTGTAGATACAATTGCGAGGCAGAGCTTCCAGTATATTTTTTAGACAAACTGGATTTTCCTGTGTGAACGGCCCTTCACATGTAGGGCATTTACTTATCTTGGTGGTACATGACACACATACAACATGACCTCTAGAGCACTGTTTAAAAGGAACTTTTACAGTTTCTAAACACACTGGACACTCAACACAATTTTCAACAATGGTTAGAAAGGATTTGGAACTTTCACTTTTATCACTTGCACTTGCCATTTTTGTTATAATTTTAACATAAAGCTGAACATACTACACAATGTGGTTATGGAGCACTTGATGTGTTGGACTTATCTATCATCAGTGAAAAGTATCTAACAGACTGACAGGAATTGCTACTGACCACTGGACAAACTCCTTATCTCCTATTCCTTATCTGTTCCTTATCTGTTGGAAGCCTGTATCAGCTGGACCTAGACCTTCACTTGTTTTCATTGTTTGAAACTTTTATTGGTTTTTATTTCCCACTACATGAAGACTAAAAATACGGTACTCATAAACTAAAACTATACTTTATCTATTTTATTTTAGAAAAAATATATTTCTTTTTAGCGAAATTCCCTATGGGGAAGTAGTTATTACCGTAGGTCTCATGGTAAGACCTAGGCCCGGGACAGATTTACATTTTCATTTTGATGTCCCCAGAGGCCAAAAACACCATTCGTTCAAATTTGGGTACTTACGTATTATACGGAGGCCACTTATTTTACAGCGCGCTGCGGTGGTTAGGTTAGGTTGGTCTATTATAAATATGTTTGTAGGACTTTCCTACTTTCGTTATGAATCGAACCAGACAAGTCATAAAAGCTTCATGATGACCAAACCTAACCGCCGCAGCGCGCTGTAAAATAAGTGGCCTCCGTATAATACGTAAGTACCCAAATTTGTATATATGTATACATATATATATATATATATATATATATATATATATATATATATATTTATGTGTCCGTCCAGACGATAACTTGAGTAATTTTTGTCCGATTTTGATATAATTTGGTTTGAAGGTGTAAGGCAGGATAAACTTGAATGAGTTCGCGAACCAGCATGATCTGACCATGGGAACGGGGTTTAACGGGGGGTTTTATGGGGTAAAAATGGTTTTTCTATTTTTTTACCCTTAAAACACAAAATTTCTCAATTTTTCTCCAGACCTTCTTAAAGAGCTTAAAAAAACGAGTAATTTAGTATGCCAACGTGTTTTTGTACGGTGATTGGCTACGGAGAAAATTTAAAAAAATGTTAATTTAAAATTTCCATGTTATTCTTATGGAGAGTATTGTCAAATGTTGTAGTCTTGTAGTTGGCTTGTTTATGGATATATTTTGATCAAACTAGGCGAATTTATTTATTTCATACTAGTCAGCGTATTCATCATCATTAAGGTCCCATAATAAATCTGCTACACTGTACTTATTTTTTAAAGCAAGAAGCGGTCAAACCTAAAACTTGCTAAAATCTTTGCTCCCGTCTGTCTCTCTCTCTCTGACTTCCAAGATCACCACGATAGCTGCCACGAACAATGTCTCTTCAGCGCACATTTCGATACAGAATGCAAATGAGGTTGTGCTACATATAACATATAGCACGAGCACCAGAATCACTAAAATTGTTTGTAAATTCTTCATACAGCAAAAGTTATAAAGCAATGTTATATGGCAAAAGTTATATAGC